TGTCCGATGAGATTTTAATGATCCAAACATATAATGCAATGCAATCCAATGATTGAGAGCTGAAGAAATAAAGGCTCCTCAGAAGATGTGAGATGTTCTGGAGGCTTGTGAAGATCATTCCTCCGCTGAGGAACAGTGAAAGTAAAGCTTCTGGAAACAAACGCTCCTCAAAAGATCCTGAGGATCAGATTTGAGACTCTAAAACATGATTGATGGAGAATCAAGTAAAGCTGAGCTGCTTCAGTCCAGTAAGTGTTCATCTGGAGATATTACTGCAGTCATTCTGACCTTTACTTGATAAAAACCAGTCAAGATTTGACACAAGAAGCGTTTCTACAATTACACTGAAAGAGCTTTTACTGGATAAAACTCTAAACTATCAACCAGAGACAGAAGACGTGAGGAGATCGAGTGAAACAGGTTTAACAGCAGAGTTTTGATCATTTAGAGGCCTTAGAAATAAGATACAGTAGATACAGTAGCTTTATAGGGTAAAAATATGATAAAAAATGAATGAAAAAGGAAGAAAAAGACACAACTAACCTTCCAAAAGAACCAAGAGCAAAGCAGTCTTCATCATGAACAACTTCTCTTAATCTTCAATCTGCTGCAAAAAAACCTTCTTATTCCGTCTCTAAGTCTGTGTAATGAGCTTATTGTCCTCTCTCGTGTATCTGAATGACATTAACTTGCCCTGTATTTTAATTTTACATATTTTACAAAAGCTACTGAAATTCAATCCGGGACTGCAGAGATTTGCATGACAAGCATTTATATAAACTCACAAACAAGCAAAGGTTATGTCGAACATATACAAAGCATAAAGCCAAAAGCATTAAGTATTGTATAAGCAGCATACATATGTGACCCTGGAGCACAAAACCAGTCATAAGGGTCAATTTTTCAAAATTGAGATTTATGCATCATCTGAAAGCTGAATAAATAAGCTTTCCATTGATGTGTGGTTTGTTATGATAGCACAATATTTGGCCGAGATACAACTATTTGGATCATTGGATCCCTTAATTCAAATTAAAGATTAAGATTACATTATAGTGACTCGCTGATATTATTTAAGTAAATATACTTGTCACATTTGACATTGAGTGATTGAAATATCAGACAATTTTAAACATGTAATCAGCTAAAATGGGTAATGACGTGTCAAATCAAAGATTGCAGTTCTTACTATACTATTATTTAATAGTGGATCAAAAAAACGCTTTCTTGTCCATTTTTCAAGGGCCAGTCTGTTGAGTGGCATCCCTCTTCTGGAAGACATTTCCATCTGGTTGAATCTTCAATGAGAGTTTTGCATCTGTTAGTCCATTCTCCTTAAGTCTCTTCCCCATCTGAAGAACACAAACAGACTTATACTACTAAATACTCTTGGTAACCGTATACTGTAGATGCTCTTATATGAACCCACCTGCAGCAGAATCTCTGTCTTCACTGCAGGATCATTCACATTTTGACTTGAGTTGACTTCCAGTCTCACCGTCTGTTTGCGTCTCTCTGTGCAACACGAAAATACACACAGCGATCAAAGTATGATGGAATAATATCATATTTTGCAGTAGTTGTTTTTTTGTTTTTTTATCAAAGCATTTTAGAAAAATAACTGCCAATCATGCTATTATCCAATTTATTTCTACAAATTCAGGACACTGAAATAACATTTGTAAAATAAATAAAGCAATGGAATAAATAAAAACAATAAAATTTTAAATAAAAAAATCAAATTTATAAAATATATAAAGAACGAAACAACAAATCAACATGAATACATACAAAAACAATTCAACAATTAAATATAAAAGACAGAAACTTCTGAATATCTCAGCCAGTCCATAAAAACAAATTAAAATAACAAAATAAATAAATATATAGATATATACATACATACACACACATAAACTAACCCGTTCCTTTATATTTTTCTGCAATTACACATCTTGCCTAAATTACAAAAAAAAGCACATATCCTCTGAAAAGTTAGGAGAAAAAAAACTAACAAAAATCAAGAACAAAAATGTTGGTTTAATATTCATTTTTGAGAGAGGAAAACAAGGCACAAGCTTGATTTTCCAGACAAACTAAACAAAATGATCAGAACAACAGAAATCATCCTAAACAAAAACCCATCTGGGCTGCGTTTCCCAAAAGCATTGTAAGCCTAAGTACATCGTAGTCCCATTGCCACCAATGGAGCTTCGATCAACTTAGGCTAACGATGCTTTTAAGAAACACAGCCCTGGACAGTATTTAACTGTATTTTATACTAAATCAAATTCAGTCTGTGGTGATATACATGCTAAGACTCTAAATCTCAGTCTGTTGTTAGGACTGACTGTTATGTTGTGTCAGTGATCCTTCTCTATATCAACAGGACAGCGGTTTAATCAAAGTTTTGCACTTTTAAATCAAAGTGGTGAAATGTGTGCAAATACTCACCAGTATAGCAAACAGAAGGAAGGGTTCTTTTACAGTCCAGATCATTAAGCTCTGCCCCTGGAGTCACTATCACGCAGTACTGATTACTTTCCCAGTTGTTCGGTTGATTGGGAGCCCACGGCATGAACGTGGATGGGCTCTGATCGGACCAGACCCAGGGAGCGTTACCGTCTGTCCGACTGAGTCCGGTCCACACGTCTCCATTATGAAACTGCCGTATGACTCTCATCATCTCATCCAAATCTGTCTGCTCGTCGATGGTGGCCAGATCAATGTAATTCCGTTGGCAATGCATCTGCGCGTCTGACCAGCTCGAGTCTGTGAGAATGTCACATGCGTCAGAGCTGAAGATGCAAGAAATGTAATTAGTTAAATGTCTATAGTGTGTATGAACTACAGCTATATGTTGTTGGCATTTTGAACTGGGTTGAAATGAACTAAAGCTTTAAATTCAATGTTTGATAGGTGCCTCTATGACATTATCTTTGTTTAAAAATTTATAAATAATGACAAATTAACTAACCTGCCAGAAGAACCAAGAGCAAAACCCTCTTCAACATGAATCACCTACAAGAAAACAAACTAAGATGTTATTAAAAAAAAAATCTGGTTTAACCTAAAAACTAACAAAGATACTAAAACATCAACACTTTATCAAAATGCTTCCTTTACAAATAAATGAGTAGTTGATTAAAAAAAAAAAAGTGGATGTATGGCAAAGAGATCAATCTCTGCGATTACTGCCAACTCAGCCCTTCTAAGTCTAGTTAAATTAGACTGCTTAAAGGTCAATACACATTACTTATCAAAGACTGCTTCACTTTAGGCATTAGAAAGTCCAAAACTCTTCTGGAAGTTCAAATAATGACTTCTTACCAGTGGTGTGCCTCAGGGTTCGGTGCGCAGCCCGCTTCTCTTCTGGATTTACACCACCTCACTGTGAGACGTAATACATGCAGCTCTATCTATCTCCTCATTCTCAAAACCACACCTCCTCTCAGCTCATATCTCAGCCTATCCTAACACCAGCTGAAATCTGTGAGGACACAAACTCCCGATCATCACGGTCAGTCCATTAGTTAACCGCGTCACTAATACCAGACAGATGTAAATAAATAATAAATGAAACAATTTAAAAATAAATAATTTTGAATAAACTAAAATTAAATGTTAGAAAAAACAAAATACAACAAATAAATATAAATACATACAAAAACAAACCTTGCGGCTCGTGACGATACATTGAGGTCTTAAGACACGAAACGATCGGTCTGTGCAAGAAACTGAACAGTATTTTTTTACCTCTGATCCACCGCAATGTCCAACTGTCCTGAGCGCGTTCACAACATCCGGCGCGTGACGTCAAATAAATACGGTTGGGCAAAAAATTCCACATCTGATGATATATCAAAATCGTCTTCCATTGTGATGACCTGTACTTCTAAATATCTTTAGATCATCGCAGTGCCAGTGAACACGTCCTCAATCTCTCTGCACTGTGTAAGTAATGAATGACGTATACGCGCGACAGATCATTCCGATGAAACCCCGTTTCAGCACTGGTTAGTTCTCACCACAGTTTAAAAAAACGCTAAAAAAAGTGGGCGTGGTGCGCAGCGGAGCAGAGGAGGGGGAGGAGGGGAGACAGACAACACACACAGCTTCGCGTTCAGACAGTTTAATTTCGCTCCCATCGAGTTAAAACACAAATAAATGCACAGCCATTTGCACTCTGCATCGAAAACATATATATGAACGCGCTGTTGCACCTCTGAGAACTTTTAAGGCTTATTCTGTGGCGTTTATATAAGCCTTATGACGGGTTGTGTCACAGAGCTGTAAAAACGGTTATGCTCACTAAGTGAATGAATCGTGTTGTGCCGAACTGTTGTTACAAAGCAAAAACAAACCCTCTTCTTCGATCTATGAACGTTTCTCTCAGTTAATGTGCGCGATGTCATCTCACAGACTCTGAAACGTCTGTCATAGCAAATCAACACATGCTGTTGGGAATAATTAAGCGAAGCGTCTTCTCATTGGATAAGAACACGCAGTCTCATGAATAATTTAATAGGCACAGACGTGTCATCGATGTACTATTAGTCCATTGCTGCGTCACAAATTGTGACGTCAACACGATGTAGATTTTAAACCCGGAAGATGAAAATAGCGCAAAAAAGCTTAAAATTAACCAGTTTTCTCCAACAGTTAAAATTATCGGATGCTAACATTGTCTTCTATTATGTGCAACACAAACACCTCTGCTAAAATCTCAGAAAAAGTAGTCTGGGGTTTCATGACCCTTTAAGACCTCCGTGTATCGTCATGAGCCGCAGGGTTTAATTTGGTTTTGTCTGTGTATGTTTTTTTTTACTCTTGAAGCCGTGGAGCCCATTGACTGCCATTATAAGACTGATAGACTGCAACAGTTTGAGTTAGAAATCTTCGTTAGTCATTCACATCACTAATGCCAGAGGCAAATAAAAATTCTATAAAAATATTATACATAAAAAAATATGTAAAATACAATAAATAAAATACATAAACTCTGAACGAATAAACAAACTACATTTAACAAGTAAAAAGTCAATTAATAAACAAGCATTTAATTAAATATAAATCAATACATATTAAAAAATACATATAAACCAACCTACTAACTCCTTCCTTTTCTTTATATTGTTCTGTGATTACACTTATTTGGTATTGTCCTGGTCTAAAAGTGTTTTCCTCATTTGTAAGTTGCTTTGGATAAACCATCTGCTAAACGAATAGATGTAAATGTAGTGAATGCTTCAGGCGCATCAGCGTCTGGAAGTCTGTCCTTACTGATCACTGATTCTGGTCATTTGCATCAAAGTCCTGCAGCCCTTATTTAAAGAAATCATGGAGTTGGTACCCAGCTCGTTTTAGACATCAGTGCACAATATTTCATTTATAAACCCTACGGATAAACTGCGGAGGACTGGTGAACAGAGATGCTTTGCTTCGGAAACTGGAAAAAAGCGGTTCATAAAAGCAGCAACAAAAGCATCCATTCTGTCTTCATTACAAACAGCCATCATATGATCAGGCATGGTCTTAATTAGTATGGCCAGCTAGCAGATAAAAAAAAAAAGCATTTAGTCTCTCTTTCAGTTCTCAGATTAGACTAATCATCCTAAGTGTTCATGCAACCATAACTTTATACTAGTTTAAGCAATTCATGCAACTAGTGCTTATTACACAAAACCAACAATGCAAGAAAATACATTATTTGACATTGTATTTCATTACATTACATTTAGTCATTTAGCAGACGCTTTTATCCAAAGCGACTTACAAATGAGGACAATAAAAGCAGTCAAAACTAACAAAAGAGCAACAATATATAAGTGCAAATGACAAGTCTCGGTTAGCCTAACGCAGTACATGTAGCAAGGTGTATATATATATATATGTATATATTATACACACACACACAAAGAAAATGAAGTAGATAGAATAGAAAAAATAGAAAGCTAGTTTTTTGTTTAGTTTTTTTTAAATAAAGAATAAAAAAAATAAATAAAAAAAAGATAAATATATATAAAGTAGTTGTTTGACAGTTTGTGGTGTGGCAAATTGTGCACTGAGGTTTGCAATTTTATTAACGAAGAATGTGGTGAATTTCTCTGTTTTTTTTAATTAAAATGCAGAGACTTGCTCATTAGATCCACCATGTGCAAATTAGACTTTGCTTGAACAGTCTATGGTCTTTAACTCATTTAACCGGTTTTTAAGCGTAACTGATGGAGGTGATCAGTCTCAGTGAATTATTGTGCTCATTGCTGTGGTTCTACTGCACAGAGTCAAGCAAACAGAGCTGGTTTGAATGCGGATTTGAATGTTGAGATAGCGTGAGACAACCTGCGTCTGAAATCACTTACAGTCACGTACACAAACATACAGAATATCAGCACAGAGATCACTGGACTGAGGCGGCGGAAAATTTATACAGTTCACGTCATTAACTGCAATCCAATGACATTTCTTAAAATTTCCGTGAGAAAGCCTGTTTAAGGATTCAAAGCAACCATATCTGCTTTGCAACTGGGTTTATTCACTTAATGGGACAGTTCACCTAAAAATGAACATTGTTATCATTTACTCTCCCTAAAGTTTATAAACAAATGTGTATAAATCAACTAACCCCAAGTACCAAAAAAGTAGTCAATTAGGTGCTCCACCAAAAAAAAAAAAAATAATTATATATATATATATATAAATATAAAAAAAGAAATCAAAGTACGTCAAGAACATTTCCACTGCTAATATTGTTTGCCCAAAAACTATCTTCTTAAGTCCCACCAGGATTATAAACTAAAACAAAAGCTTGACATATGTACATGGACAAAAAAAAAAAACGACTAAAAATAAAATAAACTAAAAATGAAAACACATCTGAAACATCTCATTCATAATATTAAAAAGCAGTAATACATTAATGATACTAAAAAAACAAGTGTCCAGGTTTGGAACGGTATGGAGAGTAAATAACAGATTTATCTTGATCAATTTAAAACCTCAAATAGAGTAGAAAGATGAATTTATACTGGACTAAAAATAGGTGCGACGACTCATTACAGCTACACCAGCAAACCTCACCGATTTCCACTGACATCCAGAACTTCATTTGGACAACTTTAAAGATGATTTTCTCAATATTGTGATTTTTTTGCTCCCTCAGATTCCAGATTTTCAAATAGTTGTATCTCAGCCAAATATTGTCCGATCTTAACAAACCATACATCAATGGAAATATTATTTAATCAGCTTTCAGATGATGTGTAAATCTCAATTTCACAAAATTTACCCTTATGACTGGTTTTGTGCTCCAGGGTCACAATGTAAAGACCATCATTCACTTCACAATGAATATGACAAACCACACTCTTTGACCCCAAAAACAAGGCTTAAATAAGAAACAAGTCTCTTTAAATTTCACTTAACTTTTATTAAAAAAAAGAAAAAAGAAAAAAAAAGAAAAAACAATTTTTGATTGAACAATACAAGACTACCAATCCAGAATGAGCAAAAAATACTAATTGGAAAAAAAGTGTATGCTTACAATGTGTGTGTGTGTGTGTGTGTGTGTGTTTGTCCCCTCGCATTAGAAAAAAACAAAAGCACAAAGTGAATCATTATGTGCTAACGTAAAAGCACATCGCCGCATGTCTATTCATAAACGAACAGGAGCGGCACGCGTGACAGATGAGCCGGAAGAGCGTCGTGTAACGCTCATAAAACACCAACACTACATCACAGCTACTGCTCCAGAAACACGCTCACACACACACACCTGAGAGACGAGTGAGAGTCCGTCCATCTGCTGATATGAAAACCACTATTCTACAGCACACATCAGCGCTGGCCGACACCATTTACACCAAACACTGTGTGTGTGTGTGTGTGTGTGGGGCAGTCAAAGAGGACTGTGGGAGACTGATTTGGCAGTGTGTGTGTGTGTGTGTGTGTGTGTGTGTAAAAGTGTGTTATCTAATGTCGTCTCCTCTTCTTGCTGCTGGGGGGCGGAGCCGATGAACGGCCTTTCCTCTTCCTGTTTAAGGTCTCCTCTGTATCCTCATACTGACTCTCGCGATCAGCTGGCGGAAGGAAATAAAAGACCGTTACAAACAGACCAATCACTGCATTGTGTAGCGGATGTCAAAACAAAAACATTCAAAATACACACTGAAGTTGTACTGTAATACACTATATATTATATAATATATAATACACTATATATATTATAATATTTGTGTGCGTAAATTTCAATTACAGTACAGATTTTAAATGCGGTTTTCTCAAAATGAGTTTTATCTCCACTTCAGCAGCAATTACAGACACCAAACTTAGCGGCTTTATTCAGATCTATATTCTGAATGTTTTTACTGAGGGGTTTGTTCATATATAATTTGACTTTGTATTACACTATATATTGGCGTCTGTAGATTTTAATTACAGTACATATCTTTAAAGAGTTTTTCCTCCACTTCAGCAGCACTTACAGACACCTAATTTAGCAGTTTTAATCGTCTCTATATTCTGATAGATTTTACTGAGGGGTTTGTTGATGTATCATTCATGTGATTATTTATAACATTTTGTTCCAAAAAACATGGTGAAATCATTAGTTTTTTCTGTCTGTTGACAGTATTTTCTCATTTATGGAGTGATAAACTGAGAAATCCAGAATCCCCTCTGAAAAAGCATCAACTCCAATATGACGACCAAATCAAACAAGAATTATGAACCTGGCTTCATTTCAGATTTATGTGCTGGAAATGTACGCAAATTAGTGTATTTATGATGCCTCAATTGTGAAAACATCATTTAAAAAAAAAAAACGTGTAACACATAACAACTGGCTTATTGTACTGTGATTAATCAACAACCAAAATATGGTGATCTATTCCCCTGTGGTGTCTTGCCTTAATATGCCAAAACCTCCAGGAAGTGACATGGTTTCGGAGGGAAACAGCAGCTCGTCAGATTAATGTGGATTTTTGTGTGTATCTCACCTTTCCTGGCTTCCTCCTCCAGTTCGTCCCAGTCTTTGCCGCTCTCCTCCTCGCTGCCCAGAGACGCGCTGTAATCTGTGATCAATAATCAGACATCAACAACCCTCTACAGATGCTTTAGCCAAATTCACACACACACACACACACACACACAGCTAAACTAAAACTCAATCAAAGTGGCTGATGTTCAACAAAGGAAGCAAACCAACAATTATGTCACAAAATACACAAAGTGGATAAAAATCCAATAACGATAACTGAATCTAAATACAACTCATTCATCTAAAAAAAAAAAAAAAAAAAAACTTCAAAGCTTAATTTTATTTAAAAATTCAAACATAACCAGCATCTATACGAGTAATGTATCGGAGCAGCAACGTTAAAAGGAAAAAGGAAAATAAAAATTCTAAACATTTAGACTATAATAGTACCTTAATAACAGTACATGTTTGGTTCGATTAAAACTAACTCTGGTGCGATTGCTCTGTTAGAGCAGTTCGTTTGAGTAAGTGTGAACACTGCCATCCGAACCCTGGTGCAAACCAAACAAGCGGATCGAGACCGCTAAACAGATGGGTCTCGGCCCGTTTCCAAACGAACTCTGGTGTGGTTCGAATGATATATGAACGCAACACGGACCAAACACTTCTAAACTAACCAAAATCGGGAAGTTATGACAAGATGCGACGCTATGCGACATGATTTGACGACGGGGTGTAACCAAAACAAAATGAGCAGAGGGCAAATGATGCAAATCCTTTTATGAGCTCCTTGTGAGTTTGCAGGTGGTGAAAATAAAATTATATGTGCACGCAAGAATGAGCGCGCTTAGTCCAGCAGACAGCATTAGTGTTCGACTTAAAGCGACGCTGAGCAGACCGATCAGTTAATGGGTGCTTTGATATTAGGGATGCACCGAAATGACAATTATTGGCCGAAGCCGAACAAAATGAAACACTGGGCCGAAGGCTGAATACCGAATACGGTTTTTCGAGTCCCAAATTTTTTTCACCATTGCACAAATTAACCCTTTAGGCGCCAGGGATTTTTGGAAAAATGCTGGATTTTGACATCAAGATTTCAAAAGCTTGTGGCTTGAAAGGGCTTAAAGATAGAGATCTACTGTAAACTAGAAAAATGTTGGGCATGACCAAAAGTTTATGTGGGGTGTAAATATACTAGTCTAATTTGCATATTATGACGTAATTAGGGGCGCGGCCATCTTGAATTTCATAATATTCAGGAAATAATAGATATTGAATGGATGTTTGAACTTATTTGCATGTTTTTTTTGTCTTTTTATCCTCATTCCAAATGATCAGGAAAAGAGGAAATCAACAGTAAAACAGGAGCAAGTAGTATATTATTACTATATTACTGTACCATAGTAAAATGCATGTGCCTATTTTTTGATCAGTTGACCAGCTATCTGCCCAATCAGGTATCTAGGTGACACAGTTTATAGTTCTTGAGAGCTCCCAGCTCTTTGGGGCACTGGATCCAGAGCGCTCTGACTGGATCCAAAGAGCTAGTGTTACTTCCAGCCCTATTTCTGCTACCCCTGCTGCCTCTACCTCTACCTCTAGCAACAGCTCTCCTATGGACACTACGACCACATCCACCGCTGCCACCCCCATCCCCGTTGGGCAAAGGGTCGAAATGATCACTTGTTTGTGCTTCGTGAACACTCGCGCCTTGCACGGCGGCACCATTGCGCTGCAAAGATGTACCGGGAGAAGCGCGATTATTAGACAACCGATCGTCATTTCCAAAAGGCAAATATTCCCCTTCAGAGTCAGAATCGGCGAATAACATTTGCAACACATCCTCACGGTACAACTTTTTATTAGCCATTTGGCGATTTTCTCTCACAAATCTCACAATTTACTC